AAAAAAAAAAAAAAAAAAAAGAATGAGGGTTCTTTGTTCCAGAACCCAGGTCCTTAACCCAATGCTGCTGAGATAAGGTGGGAGCTCACAGGCAACCTCGTCCCAGGGGTTTCAGTACGCAGGTAGAGGCAAAACCTGGGTTGCACAGCAATGATGAAGTAGAAGAAAACATATATATGATATAACGCAGGGCTCTCTTTCAAGAAGCCTGTAGGAGGCTGGGTGCGGTGGCTCATACTCATAATCCTAATCGTAATCCTCATACTCTGGGAGGCCAAGGTGGGGAGGATGGCTTGAGGTGAGGAGTTTCAGACCAGCCTGAGCAAGAGCGAGACCCTGTCCCTACTGAAATAGAAAAATTAGCTAGACATGGTGGCACATGCCTGTAGTCCCAGCTACTCAGGAGGCTGAGGAAGGAAGATTGTTTGAGCCTGCGAGTGTGAAGTTGCAGTGAGCTGTGATGATGCCACTGCACTCTAGCCAGGGCGAAAGTGAGACTCTGTCTCAAAAAAAAAAAAAAAAAAAAGGATGGAAATTGGTGGAGAAGTGAGTGTCTGCGGACATTTCATTTTAAAATTTAGGACTTAATAAAAAGAAATTTAACTATTTTTATGATTTATCATTACATTTCTGAAAAAAGTGTACTTGGATAAAAAATCAGAAAGGAAAATAATGCCATAGTTTTTGTTTTAAAATAGCTGGACTATAGGATTAAAATTTCTTAGTGTTTTTGTTTTTTGAGACAGGATCTTGCTCTGTTACCTGGGCTAGAGTATAAATGGTGTTATCATAGCTCACTGCAACCTCAAACTCCTGGGCTTCAGTGATCCTCCTGCCTCAGCCTCCAGAGTAGCTGGGACTACAGGCACATACCACCATGCCCAGCTAATTTTTCTATTTTTGTAGACACAGGGTTTCGCTCTTGCTCAGGTTGGTCTTGAACTCCTGAGCTCAAATGATCCTCCCACCTTGGCCTCCCAAAGTGCTAGGATTACAGGCGTGACCCAGTGGGCTGCCCAGCCTAAAATTTCTTAGTACTTTAAGATGATTTAGTAAGTTTTTTTTTTTAAACCACACAATTGCCATGACTTTTTTTTTACTTACATGTGGATTGTTGGCCAAACCCTGATCAGTCATGAAGTTTTGTGGCCTCATGAATGGAGTGGAACTGGGTGAGACTGGGAAGTAAGAGAGAAAGAGAAGGAATTCAAAGACGTGAGAAATCAGAGTAGTTAAGTGAAAAGCCCTGCCCTTGGCCTTTCCTGTGGGCATTCTGTTGGCCATAACCAATAGAAGAGAATGGCTGTCTGTTGTGGCTGGGAAGGGCTGCCCTGGTAGGATTTCCATCCCTTGCTTCTGTTACACCACTGGATTCAGAGAGCATTCAGGAAAATCCTTCTTGTACAGCTGGATTCAGCTACAATTCCACAACGGACCTGTCAGGGACAGTGGCCACCACCTTTCCCATTCCTTCCCTCCACAGTATGAACATCTCTAAAAGCATGCAGATTCTCTATCTACCTTAATCCAAGAGTGTTTTTGATGTTTCTTTGCAACCCAGACATTTTTGTTACCTGAAATGTTTTATTTCTGAATTTGAAGTAACTTAAGTGAAATGGTGACTTAACAAAGCTGGGAATGTGTTGTTACCTCCTGCCTTTCTGTATGTCCCACATAACACACAGAGGGCACGTGTGGACACATCCCAGGCTGACCACTACTTACCTCTCCTATAGCACCGCTGCCTCTGAGTGGGTGTTAACTTATCACGTAGCACCCAAAAGCAGGAGTTTCACAAAGACAGGGATGGGAGGAACAGTGTTCGGCCTGTTTTCCACTGTCTCCACTGGCATATTCATTGCTTAAAAGCACAAACTGGACTAAATTAAAATCTTGGCCTGATCACTCACAAGCTATCGCTTTGTGCAAGTCATTTAACCTCTTACAGCTCAGGGCTGCAGGAATTAACAGTAGCCATACCCCATAACGACATTCTGTGGATTAAATGTGCTAATATAGATTAAATACTTAGCACACAGCCTGTATCATGGTTAAGTGCTTGATACTTGGTAGCTTTTCACAATACAGTACCAGGCAGCTAAAAAAGGAATAAGGAAGATCCCTATGAACCGGTATGGAGTGATTTCCAGTGTTGATTATGCATCAGATAATAGTAAGTAGCGATGTTAAATTTCCTCAATTTGATAACTGTACTGTGGCTATGTAAAAGAACATCCTTTTCCTAGGAGCACACACTTTGGGTATGTGTGTGTCAATGCAGAAAGAGCAAAAGCAGATGAGGCAAATGTTAACCATGGGGGAATTGAGGTGAAAAGACTCTAAGGGAGGTTCACTAAACTGAACTTTCCTCGATGATGGAACTTTTTTTCAAAAGAGGTTAAAAAAATGATAGGTCTGGCTGGGCACGGTGGCTCATGCCTGTAATCCTAGCACTCTGGGAGGCCGAGGCGGGCGGATTGTTTGAGCTCAGGAGTTCGAAACCAGCCTGAACAAGAGCGAGACTCCGTCTTTACTAAAAATAGAAAGAAATTAATCTGACAACTAAAAATATATAGAAAAAATTAGCCGGGCATGGTGGCGCATGCCTGTAGTCCCAGCTACTTGGGAGGCTGAGGCAGTAGGATCGCTTGAGCCCAGGAGTTTGAGGTTGCTGTGAGCTAGGCTAACGCCACAGCACTCCAGCCCGGGCAAAAGAGTGAGACTCTGTCTCAAAAAAAAAAAAAATGATAGTTCTTAGTTTTATTGTAACATACTTATTGTATTTTCTGGCAAAAAGATAAATCTAAATGTTTGATCCTTTGGCATATAGCTTTAAGTGCTAGCCCTCAAATTACCTAAGCAGCAAAAATCTGGACAAACGCAGAAGCTTACAACCACATTTATTAGAAAAATATTATACACTGGAAATTCCTTTCTTTAAAGGTTGAAGACTTGCTCCAGGGCATCGTTCTTTCTGTTTTCATCAAATTCCTCTTAACATGGCAGGAGTCCCAGCTCTCTGGATGCTCACAGGCCAAAGGATGGTCCATTGTCACCACAAATCCAACCAAACACACGGCAAGTCACGAGGCAGCATGATGAAGCCGGCCTATTGTTTCCATCCAGAAGGTTCTGGAGACAACACAGCCGGGAACGAGACACCAGAGCTGCTCAGCAGCCACAACAGCGATCTGGTTTGCCTGCCGCACCTCACCTTTTCTTCACAAACTTCTTTCTGGAAGCATTGGGATTTAAGCGTCTCCTCCCAGCTCCCAGGGTGCTGTCCCGGATCTGCAGGGTAGCCGACCGGCTGGAGATATCATTCTCTGCGAAGGGAGAGACCCCCGCTATGTAGTCAGGGGCGAACACGTTGGTTTTCTGCCTGGCCTTTCGGGAGAGTCGCAGCTGAGGGAAGCGCTGATCCTCAGTGAGATGGGGGTTGATGGCGTATTTGCCGCCTTTGGGAGCAGGAAGTGAGTACTGCAAAGATAAGGAAAGGCTGTTAGAAGAACAGGGATCCACGGTCATAGCAGATGGCAGCCACGGACAGTAATTTCCTGCCTGCTACGTGCCAAGAGTGTGACACGCTCCTCGCCCTTGATTCTCACCTCAACTCACAGGTGAGAAACCAAACAGTATTTTGACTATACCTTCAGCTAAGGACAAAAATGAATTAAGTATAGACATAGAACTCTAACAAGCAGGTACTGCTTTCAAGTGGTATGGGTTAGCAATTCTGAAATGACAACGTATACTATAGGGTTGAGCAAATAATTATGAAGGGAAACAGTGTTAAGGTGTTATGAATGTGGGAAGAGGGTGGGCTAGGATGCACTCTGGTGTCGGGCTGAAACTGAGGGTATAAATTCATGGTTTTTAACACAGATACAGAAACACAGAATATTCAAGTGTATATTTACACACATGTATTTATTTCCTACCTTTGTCCACTGAGGGCCAAGCAGTAATGACACTCAGGTCAAAGAGCACACCCAGTGCCCAGATTTTTGCTTCTAAAAAACATTCTCCATAAAAAAGAATCAGAGCTCCTAAGAGAAATGGCTGATTCTAGGGCAGGGGCAGGAGAAGGCTAAGAGTCTAGGCACATCTTGCTGTGCCAGAAAATAAGAAAGTGTTCAAATAACCGGGACACGTCAAAAGGACACAAGAGCCGGCTTGAGGGGGCTCCCACTGGCCAAGCATAGAACAATTTGAATCTCAAAATAATGATAGTAAACCACTGGGCATGGTGACTCACACCTGTAATCCCAGCACTCTGGGAGGCCAAGGGGGGAGGATCACTTAAGGTCAGGAGTTCGAGACCAGCCTGACCAAGACTGAGACCCCATCTCTAGTAAAAACAGAAAAATTTGCCAGGTGTGTGGCATGTGCCTAAAGTCCCAGCTACTTGGGAGGCTGAGGCAGGAGGATCACTTGAGCCCAGGAGTTTGAGGTTGCTGTGAGCTAGGATGACACCACTGCATTCTGTCCAGGGCGACAGAGCAAGACAGTCTCAAAAAAAAAAAAAGTAAAGGAAAAAAAAATTAACATTAGGAAAGCCAAAGGGTAAATAGGAATTCTATAAACTGAAAACTATTTCAGAATACAAAAGGTAAAAAATCTTCTCATGCATTTGTGGCCCACTTGCTGTTTAGGGAAACCAGTGCCACTCACATGTCCTTCAATCCTTCTCCCTCAGTTCCATGAAACAAATCCCCAACTGCTGCGCCTCTAGCCCCGGCCTCTCTTCCGGGCTGAGAGATCACACTCCTTCCCCTCTGGTTTGTGGAGCTTCTGGGGATCCTGCCCGTCCTTCAACTCCTGCACAAATCTGACCTCCACCACATTCCAAATGACCTCCCCCTTTGTGACACCTCACACGTGGCTCTTAGCATTTGCTGCCGGCAATTACCAGTTACTTCTCATGGGATCAGGAGCTCAAGAAACTCACAAGGAGGCTTTGTAGTACACTCTCCCCCGTCTGCCTTGTACCTAAGTCACGGGCTTTCAATACCCCATCTTGCAGGTACAACTAGGTTTTTGTCCTCTCTGTTCGTACCAACTGTGGTGTTGTTAGGGGAATGGGAGACGCACTACTTACCCGGAGGCCTCGAGGATTCAGCACCTTGGGGTTGCGGGAAAAGTGCATATGCAGGGTGCCATCGTCACTGACAGTCACGGACACTTTCTTCAGAGTCTTGTTCCCACAATGTGAACAGAACACTCGGCCCATGTCGGATGTTGTCCTAGGAGACACAAAGGACATGGTTAGTGTTGGAGCCACGGGCAGCAACCCCTTCCCAGAACACAAGGTGAGTCACAGGCCTCTGAGAAGGAAACAAGAAGAAACCAGGAAAGGCTGAACCACACCACACCCGTCACAGAAACGAAGGCCACCAGCCTCATGCCGAAAATGTAACCAATTACTGCTGCCCTCCTCTGGGGGAGAAGGTAATACAAGGAGCAAATAAGCAAGAGGGAGAAATGAGCAGGATGTTGTTAATTATTAAACAGTAACGAACTCTTACTGAACACGGCCAGGCACTATGCTACACGTTTAACATCTCAGCAATCTTGTAAGATTGGAACTGTCTCCATTTTACAGATAGGGAAACCAAGGCAAGTTAAGGCAGCTCGCTCAGGGTCACACAGCTCAAATGTGCCAGACGTACCCAGGCAGTGGCTCCAGAATCAACGCTCTTAACATCACTGTACTTTCTCAAGGAGCGTATCATTACAGCTCTACCTTGTCTCCAAATGTCAGCCTGCATGTTAACCCAGGAGGTGCCTCTGTGGGTGGCAAGAACTTACTAATGAATTATACAAGAAACACAGTAAAACCTGCCACGGCTGAACTGAGTGTGGGTTTTGAGGGCAGACCCTGAGGCCTTGCCTCTCTCCTACCCACTCAAGCCCCCATGGTGGACCCCGCACAGGAAAAAGCTGCTACTTATTAAGGGCCAGACAGTGGCCTTGGTTCCTGTCCTTCAAGGGTCCTCCATCTGCTCCCAGCGGTCAGGAGACAAGAGCTGTGTGTGGAGCGGCTGGAGAAGCCAAACCCCTCATCTGTGAGTCTCCTGCACATGAACTAAGTACCTCTAAGCAGGTGCTAGAACTAATTATTCTGTACAAAAAACCGTGCAGTCACTGGGGCTAACCACACAAGAATGGAGAACATTTCCAGGTATTTCTGTGAATGCATGTTAATTTGGGAACTTAGGGCTTCTGTAAGAAAGGACAACGGGGGAAATGAAATATTATGAAGCAAGGAGCTTTACTGTGACATGAGCCTGAAACAGGAAAATTACATTAAGATTCAGAAGAATGGGCAGGCAGCTCTGAGGAGTGGCTAATTAAGTCACCCACAGAGCTGCAGAGGGTGGGGTGGCATGAGTGACTGGTTATTTTTAAGCCCTCAGGGGAACAAGGCTTCACCCAGGCAACTCCACCCTCAGAGGAACAGCTCCAGGTACCCAGCGAGCAACACCTTGATGCTTCATGACTGTTCCACACAGGCCTCCCCAATAAGGGTTCCACCGGATGATCTACATGATGGCCACCAAATCCAGACCGAGTCTGTGGGATGGCTGGAAGCCACCCCAGTACCAGTCCCCAGGGCCACACTTCACCAACGAGGCTACAGTACAGTCTCTTCCACTCCAACCAGAGGGTCTCCAGAATCCCAGAGGCCTCCACACAGAACACCAGCGCCCACCACACGAAGGACCAATTCAAGAGTCAGAAAAGAAATGGAGAGAAGAGAGTGGTCAACATGTAACAGTTCACCCAAAAGGAACTCCTGGCTTCCTACGTGCCAGACACTGCACTAAGTCCTTAGGATTTATCTTCCTACTTCCTCACAACCATCTTCTCCACTTTATTTAAGAAGAAAGTGAAGCACAGAGAAGTTAACCAACTTTTGTAAAATGACACAGGTAGAAGATAGAATCTGGATTTGAACCCATGTACTCTGCATCCAGACTTTACTTTTTTTTTCTTTTGTCAATAGAAAAACACAGACAGAGGAACACATTGAATCACCACGTCTAGCTTCAACAACTATCAATTCATGGCAAATCTTGTTTCATCTCTTCGCCCACCCACTCCTGCCACTGTGCATTACATCAAAACAAATCCCAGACATCATTCCATGCATAACCATTTCAGTATCTTTAAAGAATGAGGGTTCTGGCCGGGCGCAGTGGCTCACGCCTGTAATCCTAGCACTCTGGGAGGCCGAGGCGGGCGGATTGTTTGAGCTCAGGAGTTTGAGACCAGCCTGA